GGGGAAAGCAAGAGGTTGCTGTCTCTATAGGAAGGTTCCCAGGGGCATGGGCTCTGATGACAAAGGTCATTCCAACCTGGCTGTGTTAAATGTTAGGTGGCTAGATTTATTCAGGTTTGCTAGGAAGGGGCTCGTTGAAGGGAAACCATGCCTGATGAATGATTTGCGTGGAGCAGAAATGTGGGGGCAACTGTAGATTTAACCTGCAGTTTAACTTTTCAGTGAGCTGTGGTCCAGCCATTGACTTGAGCAGCAGATGGATCAGGCCCTTAATGCATTGCCTTTAGCATACAAGGAGCAGCAACAGCTGGCTTGTCCAGTAAAAGGCTGGTGAGATTCACTGTTCTTCAGTGGGGGGGGTGGGGGGTGTGTGATTTTGGAGAACCGGAGTGGGTTTAATGGTTTTTCTCACTCCATCTGCTATTACCCTTGAAGGAGAAGCTTGCTGTATTCACCCTCAGAAATGTGTAATGCAGCTGTTGTAACAGCTCCATCCCTGACGGCCAAGGTGAACAGATCCACTTTACCGTATTATCCCCTACCAGCGTGCATGCTTCCGGGATCTTTTTTCTGGTCCTGCTTTTGGGTTCCCCCCACCCATCCATCTTGATGCTCCCTTCATTGTGTTTTTCCTGCTCCTTATTTATCTCAAGCCTGCAACATCCAATACAGCTTGTTCTTTTTATTGTCTGAGTTTCTTGGTGACTTTAGCCTTCTTGCAGCCACTGACTTCTGCAATCCCCATACCCCGCATCTGGGTAGAAACTTCTGAAAACAATACTGTTTATTGTAGAACCAGCAGAAATACCTTTTTTTGGAAGGAAACGCCTCTAAGACAAAAGTGAAATGTGTTTGCTGGTCGTGTTTGCTGGCTAGCCAGAAAAGCACTGCCTTTATCTATTGCAGAGTCCCATCCAAGTGCAGGAACCACGGCAACACAGAGGCGGTGGCCTGTGTAAGAGTAAGTTTAGAGTAGGTTTAGAGTAAGAGGAATGGTTATAAGCCCAAGTTTCCCTGTACTGTTACTTGTCCACATCACAAAATGTTCATCTGTTTTGCTCCAAAGAAGCTTCTGATTGCAAAACAGGCAATATTGCAGGGAAAGGTGAGGGAGCACTGATGGCTCTGTCCGAATTAGCCAGGGTGCTCCGCTGTGGAGAAGTCTGCAGAGAGAGATGGGGGGCTGTGCCCATCTTCAAGCCACTTTCCCTTATATTTTGCCTTGCTCTTGGCCTTTTACCAGATGAAAAAAATGGGGGGAAAATAACAACAAACCCAGAAGTTTAGCTTCAGCTGTTAAAAAGAGATTAATTCATTTTCCTTTTTTATGATCTCGCAAAGTAGTTAGGCTAAATTTAATTGAGGCAAGGGAGCTGGGGCTGGAACAGGCAAGGAAAAGGGAACTTGCTGAAAACATTGTCAAGGCACAGATAGCAAAAACGAGTGGCAGCAAACGCATAACAGAAAATGAGAGGGGGAGAAAGAGGAAGAGAAAAGGCTAATGGGGAAACAATTAGAAAATACCACCACCGCTGAAACAAATGCGTTGGAGGGTAGCCGAGATGGAGCTGCATGCCAGCTTACAGTCAGCAATTGAGTTACGGCAGTGTGGTCTTCACGCTCCCAAACTGTCCGTAAGAGCACTGTGCTTTTTAAGCTCATTCGTTGAGATTCACATCATCTTCAGGTGTCCTCAGCACTGTGCAACCTGGCTACTGAAGCAGGTATTCTTGGTTTGTGCATCACTCAACCCATCCCTGCCATGAACTTGGCAGACCATGACAGCTCAGTGGGACCGAGGCATGTTGCCTGGGAGGTGGTTAAGGAACAACTAGGGAGCTGCCAGGACAGGAGTGACGATAAACTGGTCAGTACTGGGTTTTTTTTGGTTTTGAATCAGTATGGAGGTAATGCCCAGGGTCCAAGGGCGCTTCATGCAGCGGGATGCTCTTTTGTATGAGATGTCAAGTCAGGGGTTGAAAAGCTGTCAGAATAAAACTCCAGGATGCTTTTAGTAATGAGTGAGGTATAGTCGTCTTTGGATGTAATAACTCTGCAGAGTTGTCCTGTTTAGCTCTTAAGACTGAGTGCCCTCATTGCTTTCTGCTCTTAAAACCTTGATAGTTGTCTGAGTTTTATTGCTGTGTTTGACATTTTTGAAGGATGTGGAGAAGGAGGCAGCTGTGTAGGTGAGTCTTACTGCTTGACTGGCAGTCGTTTTCTAGGTCCATCAGGGCTGGCGTTGGTAACGGGAAGTACCAGGAGGTGGGAGCGCGGTTTGCCTGCCCTCCGCCCCCACCCGTCGTGGCTTGTTTCCTCTCCGGCCTTGTGGGGAGGACCTGCCTTTCACTTCTTGCTTTCAGAATGATGCTCCGCACTGTTCATGTAAGGTTGGAAGGCAGGCATATGTGGGAGAAAAAGTTGCATCCTTGCAGCTCAACCTTGGATGCTTGTCCATCTCCAGGGTGCTCCTGCCACGCTCCCGTCTGCGTCATTTCTAGCCAGTCCCTCCATGCTGGCCCCGGTGGCTTCCTTTCACTGGTATCAGGTGTCTAGCACAACAGGCTCATCCTCCAGTGGTAGGGATCACGAAACTGCTGCGTGCACGCCGAGTGGTCAGACTGCGCTGTGAGGAAGAGCCACAAGTGTTGGGGGCTGATGTTTGGCACTTGCCAGTTCCTCTCCCACACAACGAGTGATGGAGGTGGAAGATGACCACAAATTGTCTATCTCCTAGTGTTGGGTCAGACATTGGGACTTTAAGTAGAAATGACTACTCAAGTAGGAAACCTGTTACCTGGAGTAAACTTATGGGGCTGGAATAAGCACACATATATATACATCAGTTTTAATGGTCTTTGCTGTTAGCTGGAGGTACTGTCCCCACACTACCATGTGGAGGCCTTGCTCCTTTCCCCCAGACTGATTCAGCATTGCTAACAGCAAATTGCTAGGACAAGGTTATCCATGCAGGAACCCACAGGACTATTTTCTCTAGTTTATACTCGAGAGTCTTTGTTTGCTTCTTTGATAAAGGACTCAACTGCATTTGCTCCACCATGAAGCTTGTAGGATGCAGATGCATTGCCAGCCAGGATGAGTTGGCAAAATAGCTCTGCTCCTAAGTCCCAGCAGCTTAGTCTTGATGTTTCTAGTGATGTGTGAGCCCAAATTAGGAGAAAGGGGAAATGAAGTGTGATTTCTGCTTTGTTTTCTCTAGGTAGACTTAAATATGCTATCAGATATGCCTTCTTCCTGCCTAAATGTTCCATATAATCCTGGGGACTGGTTAAAGAGCTCAGTGTTGTTTGTTTCTCGGAGAAGCATGTGTGCATGGAAGTCTTAGCTGTGAGGCACCAAGAATATGCCCAGGTAGGCTAAGAGTGGACCTGTGGCTGGATTTC